TTCAGGACTTGTTTCTAGTTGGAAACAGTTCAGGGCCGGCTGTGGCCGTTTGGTTTTAATTGGAAACTGTCTCTTTAAATTTCGAGGAGATCTGTGCACATGCGTAGTAGAACCCTCCGAGGGTGGGGCTGGGGTGCCCACTATCTCAGGCACCCCTATATAGTCACCAGAATGGAGGTGCGCAGACAGCAAGGGACCAATGAACAGCTACCAAAAGAGAAGAATGTCCACACCTTTATCTCAGCAGTTTTACCAGGCGTCTGTGGCCGCTCCAATCTTTCCCCCACGTGGTCTCACCCAAGCGGCGGCTCCTGGAGCAGCCGAGCGTCCCGGACTAGAAAGCAATAGATTTCTTGCTTCTGCCACAAATTCTCCCAGCTGTGAGCCTTCCAGCCTTCTAAGTATTCCTTTATATGTGGTTCAGAGTTCTGGGACCATCCCCTGAGCCTGCTTGTTCGGGTATTCTGTGTTGTTGTTGGCGGAGCTCTCTGCTATACATCCACCCGATCCGCCATCTTGTTTCTTCTTCCACTTTCTTTTGATGTTTCCTGTTTCTTTTAATATTTTGCCCAAGTTGTTTGTTGTTAAGTGCCACTGAGTCAATTCCAACTCATAGCAACACTGTGTAGGCTTTTCGAGGAGTGACTGATGTGTTTGAATTCCCAGCCTTGCGATTAGCAGCGCAGTGCTGCAACACACCAGGGCTCCATATTTTCCCCATAGAGCTCTTCAATATTTGGACATTTCATTATAATACTTGACAAGTAGTATACTTGTCAAGCTGCCCATTGAAATTTTCTGTTCAGCTCTTTTACATAATTATTTCTTGCAGTTGCTTTAGCTTTTTTACATTCAGGAACAAGTTTCAGAGTTTCTTTTGACATCCATTTTGGTCTTTCTTTTTGTCCTATAGGGTTGTTATGAATTGCAATCAACTCAATGGCAGTGGGTTTGTTAGTAAGTTGTTTCGTGTGGCTTACAGCTTAAGGAACAAGAGTGACAGTGGAATGATGTGAGGTTAGAGAGACGCAGAGACTGTGTATTATACAGATCTGGTAAATAGTGCAGTGGAAAGCAATGGAAAGATATGTTAAGCCAAGGAGTAATATGATCTGACTTAGCAATTATTAGAGGTCACATAGGTTTCTTTGTGAAGCATAAGGTTGGTTCTAAGAGGAGGTCCTATTAGAAGCAGGGATACCAGTTAGTCAGGATATTGCTGTAGTCTAGGCAAGAGATACTAATAGTATTTCTATTTAAGTATGGCAGTGGAGATGGCTAGAAATTGACTAATTTGATCTATGCTACAGAGGTAAAGCAGACAAGACTTGGTGGCTTGAATGTAAATGGGGATGAGAAAAAAGGAAGGACTTTTGGAATTTTTGACTTGAGCAGCTGAATTGACCTTGGTTTCATATACTAATAAGAACAGTGCTGAAAGAACAGGAGAGATTGGATTTATTTGGAGGTAGGGGCTGGTGAGAGGAAGGCAACTAGAGAATCAAGTTCTGTTTTGACCTATTTACGTTTGAGATGCCTGTTAGACATCCAAAAAGAAATGTTAAGTAGGTGGCTTGAAATGCAAGCTTGGAGTTCAGGAAAGAGGTTGTTGTTGTTGTTGTTGTTATGTGCTATGGAGTCGGTTCCGACTCAAAGCAACCCTGTACAGGGTTTCAGAGGCTGTAAATCTTTATGGGAGCAGAAAGCCTCATCTTTCTCCCGTGGAACAGCTGGCAGTTTCGAACTGTTGAACTTGCGGTTCGCAGCCCGATTCGTAACCACTACACTATCAGAGTTCCTAGGAGAAAGGTTAGAGCTAGAAAAATAAACATGGAAACATGGAGACTATCAGCTTATGTACTGTTTTTCATCAATTCCATAAACATACTCTTTTTTTTTTTCACTTTCTAGCTTCTTGCACATAAGGTTACATCTTAATAAGATCGATGTCAGCCAGCTAGCAGTCATGATATCGTTGTCATTTGCAGTTCAAGTTTGCATAGAAAGATTGCCAGAATCAGACTTTGCAGAATGAATGTCAACAGCTCAGAAAAGTAATATGGAGACAATATTGGATTGCCTGTTTTAGCCCCCCCCAAAAAAAATGATTTGGGGGTAGGAGGGAAGGAAGTACCAGTACGGTTTCATTATTTTAAGAAATTCTGTATTGCAAATTCTCTCTATGGCACAGAGAATAATATTGTGTAAAAATAACCTGTAAACATCAAAACTTTTCAGTAAGAAAGTAATTCAGAAAAGTTGGACTCTGAATGTAGAGGTCAGAATTACCTTCAAAGATTAGTTTGTTTATACAAGGACAAGTAAAAAAAGTGTTGCTACTAGGGTTCTAGTTCTTATATGCACAGGTTTGTTCCAAACAAAATATGTTTAAACATGTCTCTGCGATCAGTTGGGTGGCTGCAGACCAGTTCTCACAGTAATACATACACTCGTCTTAGTCTCGTTAGGTGGCTCTCCAAAAAGAAAAAAAAAGGTCCAATAAAAACTGGCTTTAAAGTTTTTATTGTGAATTGAGGAAGGTTTACAGACAAGATCATCAGTTTTCCACTCAACAAATCATTTACTTTGTTTCATTTCAATGATTACAATCCCCTCCATGCAATAACAGTTATCCTGCTTCCTCCCTGTGGTTCCTATTTGCATTCTACCCACCTTCCCATTCCTTCTCAACTTTGCCCTTAACAAAATTGTTGATCTTTTATTGTTGAATGATTGACCATTCCATGGTAGGCATACCTTACTAGTGTTATTGTGTCTCTCCTCCCCCCTTTCCACCCCCCCAACTATGAACCTATCTATTGCTTAGCTGAAAATTGAAAGACAAGGATGAGTTCCTTTCCAAACCTGAAGGGTGGTTAAGGCCTATAGTCTCAGGTTTCTCCAGTCACTGCTTTACCAGTAAACCTGGTCTTTTTTTTTTTTTAAATAATTTTGAGTTTAGTTCCACATTTTACCCCACTCTACCCTCTAATGTGATCTTTTTTAGAGCAGTTGGTAGTGATATCCAGGAACTGTATATATAGTTCTTCTGGTCTGAGTCATGGAGACTGATGTTCCTGTGTTCGCTTAGTCCATTGGGCTAATTGGTTCCAAGCGTCTTCAATTGTTATCACTCTTCTTTCCTTCCACACATGGAGAGACCAATAGTTGCATCTCATGAGCTTTCAAGTTCCCAGACACTGCTTACCAAAGTAAGATGTAGAACATTGTCTTTGTGGACTGTGTAATACCAGTTGACCATGATGTCCCTTGAGACTATGATTTTGAGCCCCCAGGCCCAGGAATTCAACTGTCTTAAGATGTTTGATAATGTCTAAGAAGCCCTCATCATTTTGCCCGCTGTATGCTCCACCACATTCATAGTTGTGTTTACAGAAAAGTTAAATACTCATGTATTTAACTTTTCTGTAAACACATAGTATATATATTTGTGGGAGGGGCAACCTTGATAGATTTTCTTTGACACAGGATAATCACGGGGCTTTATTATGAAGAAGTTGTAAAGAAAATAGAAAACTGCACTGGTAAGAAAAAGGTCAGGAAAGTTGCACTGAGGAATTTTATTTCTATCACACCAATGTACCTGCTCATTCTTTGAGAGTAGCATGCATAAACTCTCCTACAAGAATTTTTTTTTTTTTTTTTAGGAAACCTTACCTCATCCACCCTACAGCACTGAGCTTGCCCTTTCAGACTTACTTTTGTTCCCACAACTCAAAGAAAGTTAAAAAGGAACACTATTTGTTTCCTGTGAGGATGCCAAAACTTCCACTTTAACGTAGTGTGTCAATCGAATAATACAGAATTCTTCAGGGTAGTGTTACAGACATTGAATCATGATTTCAGAATTATATAGCCCTAGATGGAGGATATATTAAGAAGCAATAGCTTCATATCTGGGTATTTTTAATAAAGGTTTCTGTAATTTTATAGCAATACTTTTATACTTCTCATATTTGCTATTTTATGCTTATATAATTGTTGTCATTGTTAAGTAAAAACCTGTCTGCATATAATACAGCTCTTTCAGTCGTGAAATAAAACTGCTGAATGTTAAAAAGACATTGTGTTATACATAGTTTAATAAAAGTTTAGCAATATATTTATAACATGTGTATTATAGAATTGATGGCTCTTAAAATCCATTGAAATACAGTAGATGATAGTGAAAAGCCAGGGAATAGATAGGATTACATAAAGACTTAAAGAATTTTACAGAACAAGGAGCTCTGGTAGCGTAGTGGTTACGAATCGGGCTGCGAACCTTAAGGTCAGTGGTTCGAAACTACCAGCTGCTCTGTGGGAGAAAGATGAGGCTTTCTACTCCCGTAAAAATTTACACCCTCGGAAACCCTGTACAGGGTCGCTATGGGTCGGAATCGACTCGATGGCACTTAACAACAACAACAACAACAACTATATATATAGACTGCCTCACCCAGACTTCCTACTCAGCTTTCCAGATTCAAAGTATATTTCTCTGAAAAGCTTTTTCTAAAACCTTTTATCCCCATCCTAGATTCTAAGTACAGAATAGAAAATGAGGCCATATGTTGCTAACTTTATCTGCTTTGAGTTTATTTCCCTACTGTTTGTGTTTCTAGGGAGAAAATCTGGAGGGTTATACTGAGTGCCTGTTCAAAAGGAATCTAAGAGTGTTGGTAGGAATAGAACTTGGCAAATGAGTCAGACAGTGAATAGTTGTCTTATTTTCTTGTGATTTTTTCTGCTAATCAGATATTTTTTTTATCCCCATATCTCTCCTCTGCCCCCTGTTTTTGTTTATTTTAAGGAATGGCCAGAAGCAAGGACCATAAAATTGAGCGCTATTCGGGTAAATGAATTTATTTTCGTTGTGTTCAGGGATTTTATATAGCTTAATTTCATTTATAGAACATACACCTTTACCTTTTTTTTTTTTAACCTCCACAAAATGAAAGTGAAGTGTTTGCCTTCTGAATTCATTTCAGTGATTTTTATGTGAGTTAATTAACACATACCCTCTACAATCTTCTCTGGAATATACGTATTAATAATTTGACTTTTGATGTTGTGGTCATGTATTATCTCATTTTATAGTGCAATTGCATATAAAAATATGGCTGTAATGAGACTGATTTAATAAAACCATACACAATTGTCTCATTGTTATGGAAACTCCAGCTGTGTACATACTTAATATAGACAATAATATAATAACATCTGCAGTTATGTATTTTATTTTATCTGTTGAGAATATACACATCACAACTTATACTAATTCAACAATTTTTTACAGTGACATTTCATACAACCTTAGGGGGCAATCATTTTTTATTAATGGGGGAGGAAAAATTCATTCTTTGAGTTATGTAACTATTCTCACCCTTCCATTCTGAATTGTTCCTCCCCCATTAATACAAATTGACTGCTCCCTAAGGATGTGTTAAGGAGCTCTGGTAGCGTAATGGTTACAAATCAGGCTGCGAACCTCAGGGTCAGCAGTTCGAAACTACCAGCTGTTCCACAGGAGGATGATGAGTCTTACTGATCCCGTAAAGATTTACAGCCTCTGAAACCCTGTACAGGGTCGCTATGAGTCAGAACCGACTCCACGGCACTTAACAACAAGGTTGTATTGTTATCTTATGTTAACTTTCTAGAGTTCTAAAATAATTAACTGTTTCCATTCCACATTACTTTATTCAGTTGACCACCTAAATTTTTTTGCCAGTGTAATAAAACGGGTTGTGTAAACCTTGCACTTTGAGTACTTTTTGACGTGATTGTTTTATTGGTTGAGTGCCCATTATAAACCTGGCCCCTCTGAGCCAACTCTTGGTGTATACATCTAGAATGATTTTCGCTTTTCTTAGGTCAAAAAGGAGGCACTCTGGTGATACAGCGGTTAAGCAGTTGACTGCTTACCCAAAGGTTGACAGTAAAAACCCACCATCTAGTCTGTGAGAGAAAGATGTAGCAGTCTACTTCCATAGAGAATTATAACCTTGGAAATCTTATGGGGCAGCTCTACTCTGTACTAAAAGGTGACTATGACTAAAGAATAGGAAGTAGAGAATAAACATAGCAAAATAATTTTCTTTTTTCTGTGCCTGCAGGGAAAGAAATGGAACTGGTACTTGGACTATTTGTTTTCAGAAGGATTACAAGGCCTGAAAATTTTCTTAAGACATAGTATTCATCATTCTGCCTCTGACGAATAACATAAAGCACAGTGATTAACATTAAATGTTGACATAAAAAATGGAGCATACTAGACTAAATGACTTCTTTCTTGCTACCATGGCCACATGGCCCAACTTGAGTTTCTATATTTGTTTCACCAACAGATTGCATCCTCAAGGAATACTCAGATTGGTGATTCCATCCATGGCCCAGGAAAGCCATGATATGGCTAACTTTGATTTTCATAAGTTAGATTTCTTAGCCCACTATTGAAAACTCACTTCTTCATTAGGCTCTGCTTTCCAGCAAATTACCCATAAGGAGACACATCTGTTATCTGTGGGATATTCATATATGTGTATACTATAAGCTGCATAGATGAAAAGAACAGGTAATATAGTAGCAATTAATCCATGGATTAATGCAAAGTATTCTGCTAAGTCAGTGCAATATTTGTGGATAGTGCCATTTTCTTACTGTGGATGACAGCACCACAACAAGTCAGCGTATGTAACTCTAAAAACTGGCTGCTGCCTGTGCCTTTACTGGTAGCAATTTGATGAGGGGAGGAAGACGAGAGGATTGCAGGGCAATCAAGAAATCAAGACATTCAAGACATTCCTTTTTTTTTTTACAGTTTGATTTTCACATAATGGCTTTAATTTAGTGTGTATGCATTTGTGTATTTATGCCAGTTTTTAAATGTTCAGACCTAAATAAACTTAATTGCAACTTTACTTTCAAGGATAATTCTGAAACTTTCATTTTATTTCAAAGTAGCTAAACTATCTTGCTGAAAATTTATTCAGTGCTACCGAATAACTTTACCTTTATTAATAAATGCATATCATTTAGAGAAGTAAAGTTGAACTTATTTTTGTCTAGGGATACTAGACTACTAACCACAAGATTGGTGGTTCCAGCCCACCAGCCATTCCTCATAAACCCTATACAGGGTCATGAATCAGAGCCAACTCAATGGCACTTAACAACAACAAGGGGTATACTGTTGTGATTTCTTTTTTCTTCATTCCTAAGCAAAAAAAAACCCAAAACTATAATATTGAGTAGTCTAATAGTTACAGTTTTATGTCAACTTGACTGAGCCTGAATATTCAATGGTTTCTTAGTTAAGATACGGTAATCCCCCATGATGAGATCTTACATAATGTCATTTTACCTTCTTGATGAGATCTCCTATGTGCCGCCAGTTATTGGAAGAGAAGTGTCCTTGGGAGTGTAGCCTACAGTGTCTGTCATCTTACAAAGATAAAGGGAGAGAGAAATGAGCAAAGAAAAATGGACCTACTACTCGGTGTGACGCTGTAGGATAAGCCCTGGACTGCAAGGTCAATTGGAGCTGCAAGGTGGCAGTTCAGACCCACCATTCGCTCCTCGGAAATGACTCAGTAGAACTTACCTGGGAGTGGAATATGTCCATTTGACCTGAGGTCCCTGCACTTTGGAGCTCCTAGATCCAGAGGGAGGTTGTTCCCAAGATGAATGCTTGTTGTTGTCATTGTTAACTGCCGTCAAGTTAGTTCTGACCCATAGAGATCCTGTATAGGGTTTCCCAGGAGCAGCTGGTGAACTTGAACCACCGACCTTGCAGTTCAAACAACTTTGCAGTCCGACGCATTAACCCGCAGTGCCACACCAGGACTCCACTGAACAGAGATCTCCAAAAATGTTGGGCATAGAGGTGCTGAAAGGAGACAAGGACCTTTTTCTAGAACTGACAGAAAGCCTTCCCCTAGAGCTGGCACTTTAAATTTGGACTTCTAGCCTTCTAAATTGTAAAAGACTCAATTTCTGGTTATTAAAGACATTCACTTGTGGTATTTCTGATATAGCATCTCTAGATAACTAAGACAGTGTTAAGACTAGAAATTTCATTAATTCAATAAATATTTATTGTGCTAGATTTTCTGGGAATACAGCTGTGACCAATATAAAGTCCTTGTTTTTTGGAGCTTACATTCCAATGGTGTAAACAGACAAAAAAAATACAGCAAGTTTCAGGTGCTTATGAAGAAAGACCAGGAAATAGAGACAAAATGTTAGAGGGTTACTACTTAATATGATCAGAGAAGGCCTGTTTGAGTAGGTGATAGAGAAACCTAATGAAGTTGTTGTTGTTGTTAGTGCCATGGAGTCGATTCCGACTCATAGCCACCCTGTACATGGTTTCTGAGGCTGTAAATCTTTCTCCCACGGAACAGCTGGTAGTTTCGAACTGCTGACCATGAGATTAGCAGCCCGATTCGTAACCACTATGATAAGCCTTGTGATCCTATAAGTTAGGGTAGAATTGCCCCTGTAGGTTTATGGAATCAAGCCGCCACATCTTTCTTCATTGATTGGAGAGGTGTGGAATCAAGAGTTCTACTTTGATTGTGTTAAGTTGTAGATACTAAGTAAGCAACTGGATTTCCAAGTCTGGAATGCAGGCTACCAGTTGAGACTGAAAAAAATTGATTTGAGATACATCAGGAAATAGCCTTGATACTGGATGAGATTATGTAATGCAGCTAGAGAAGAGAAGATGGCAAAGCACTGCGTCCTGGGGTATGTCAACATTAAGAAGTAGAGGAGGCTTGGAGGAACTAGCAAAAGACTTAAAAAAAAACAAACCCAACACTGACTTAAGAGACGTGGTGCTATAGGATAAGTACTGGACTGCTAACTACAAGGTCAGTGGTTCAAACCTACCAGGGGCTCCAAGAGCGAAAGATTCACAGCCTTGGAAGCTCTATATAGGGTCACTGAGTTGCAATCACCTCAGTAGCAGTGAGTTTTTAGTTGGTTTTGGTGTGCTAGAAACCAAGTGAAGAAAATAAAGAAGGAGTGTTTAATGGTGTGGTACATTGCCTGTATGTTGTTGTTGTTATGTGCCATAGAGTCGGTTCCGACCCATAGCGACCCTGTATAGGGTTTCCGAGGGTGTAAATCTTTACGGGAGTAGAAAGCCTCATCTTTCTCCCGCGGTGCAGCTGGTAGTTTCGAACCGCTGACCTTAAGGTTCGCAGCCCAATTCGTAACCACTACGCTACCAGAGCTCCTTTGTTCTTATGTACCCTCTATGTTTAGCTACTTTGAAGTAACTGAAGTTAGCGTTCCCAATGGATAAATTCTGCATTTAGAAATTTCTCTTACTTTGTACTCAAAACTTTCTGTATTGTTTTTCAAAACATGGTATTTTTATTCTTAAAATTAAGTACCATTTCCAGTGGTCAGAAGGGATTATGGTTGTCTATCGTGTTAATTTTCATCCAAGAATTTTAATTCCTAACAATTTTCAGATCATTGAAGAAAATTTCTAAATGTAAGCTTACCTTTCAGGGAAAAAATGGGTTAGTCTTTTGGCTTAATAATGATTCTCAAGATACTGTTTGTTTTTGCTTCTGTTGGGGTTTTTTTGTTTGTTTTTTTGGTTCATGTCTTAGTTATATAGTGCTGCTGTAAGAGAAAAATCACAAGTGGGTGGCTTTGATAAACACATTTATTTTCTCAAAGTTTGTTGCTGTTGTTAGGTACCATCAAGTTGGTACCAACTCATAGCAACCTTATGGAAAATAGAACAAACACTGCCTGATCCTGTACCAATCTCACAGTTGTTGCTATGTTTGAGTTTATTGCTGCTGCCACTGGGTCAATCCATCTCGTTAGGGATCTTCGTCTTTTTCTCCAACCTTCCACTTGACCAAACATGATATCCTTCTCCAGGTATTGGTACCTCCTGACAATTTGTCCAAAGTATGTGAGACGATGTCTGGCCATCCTGGCTTTCAAGGAGCACTCTGGCTGCACTTCTTCCAACACAGATTGGTTGGTTCTTTTGTCAGTACATGGTACTTTCAATATTCTCCTCCAACACCATAACTCAAATGCATCAATTCTTCCACGGTCTTCCGTATTCACTATCTAATTTGCTCATTCATGTAAATTATTGAAAATACCATGGCTGGGTCACACCTTAATCCTCAAACTTTGCTCTTCAACGCTTTAAAGAGGTCCTTGTGCAACAGATTTGTCCAGTGCAATGTGTCATTTGATTTCTTCACTACTGCTTCCATGAGTGTTGATTGATCCAAGCAAAATGAAGTCTTTCACAACTTCAGTCTTTTCTCCATTTATATGGATGTTGCTTATTGGTTCAGTGGTAAGGATTTTTGTTTTCTTTACACTGAGATGCAACCCATACTGTCTTTTATCTTCATCAGTAAGTATTTAAATCTACTTCGTTTTCAGTAAGCAAGGTTGTATTATCTGCATATCACAGATTATTAATGAGTCTTGCTGTAGTCCTGATGTCCCACTTTTCTTCATAGAATCCAGTTTCTCAGATTATTTGCTCAGCATGAGCATTGAATTGAATAAGTATGGTGAAAGAATACAACCCTGGCGAACACCTTTACTGATTTTAAACCATTCGGTGTTCCCTTGTTCTGTTCAAACAACTACCTCTTGGTTTATGTACAGGTTCCTCACAAGCACAATTTAAGTGTTCCAGAATACTCATTTTTCACAGGATTGTCCATAGCTTGTCACAATACACACAATCGAAAGCCTGTGTGTAGTCAGTAAAACACAGGTAATAGTCTCTGTTTTCATCCAAGATCCATTTGACATCAGCAATGATATCCTTGTTCCACATCCTCTTGTGAATCTGGCTTGCACCTCTGGAAGTTCTCTGTCAATCCATGGTTGCAGCCTGTTTTGTATTACCTTTAGTAAAACTTCACTCACATGGTATATCAATGATACTGTCTGATGATTTCCACATTGCCTTGGGTCACCTCTCTTTGAAATGGGCAGAAATGTGGATCACTTCCAGTCAGTTGGCCAGGTAATTTTCTTCCAAATTTCTTGGCATAGATAACTCAGTGTCTCCGATGCCGCATCAATTTGTTGAAATATTTCAATTTGTATTATATCTATTCCTGTTGTCTTGTTCTTTGCCAATGACTTCAATGCACTTTGGACTTCTTCCTTCAGCATCATTGACTCTCAAAATGGTTGAATGTTGACCACTTCT